TTAAGTGACACTAAGGTTATGTTGTATGTTTTTTATCCTGCAACAATCAGGTTCATTTTTCCAGTTCAAATAAAGCCTTCAGGATTTTTACATTGAGAAATAATTAGATTTTAGTTAAGTATAAACCAAGGCATTGATGCCAAAAATGACCAAGTATGACAAGACATTCAAATCAATCAAGTTTATTTTTGTATAGCATATATCCGCAACAAGGGAGTTCAAAGCGATTTACATCATGAAAACACAAAAACATCATTAACACATCATACAGTCAACAACTGTAACAACCTGTAAAAAACATTTCAGTTTGTCAAGTAACATCATTAAAGCCACCAAATAAGTTGGTCAATGTTCCATTTATTATGGTTCACAATAAACTCTACTGGGTTTTAAGCCCAGTATAATTAGAGTATTTAAAGGGACTCAGTGTTTCAGGTGTTTTTAAGTTTTCTGGAAGTTTGTTCCAGGCGTGAGGTGCAGAGAAGCTGAATCCTGATTCTCTATATTCAGACCTCAGAGGTCTGGAAGGTTGAAAAAACAGCAGCAGCAGATCTTTAATGTATTTTGGATGAATATTAACATGGAGCAGTGGCAGCGCCGGGCTTCACTCAGCACATCGTAAGGGTGAAACGGAGAGAAGCAAGTAATGGATGCTTTTGTCTTTGCCTCGTTCTACAAACTCGCTAAGGGATGTTGGCCTGTTATCAGTTTATCATTGACTGTATTACATGCATGACATGGTTATGTAATGTGGAGACCTATCCTTTCTCCATTAGGTTCTTGATGTATGAAGTTGAAGAGTCAGTGGAGTTGCATTAATGAACTCCATTTATTAAGACTGAAATACAGCTTGTCCTTTTGTTCATGCTATCCTCATGGGCTAACAGAGCAAAATGGCATCAAACAGTTTTCAATTCCCTTTGTTAAAGCCTAACAAAGGGAATTGAAAACCTAAAGAGGGCGTTCCCTAGTGTGTCATTTCCTTTATCCGTAGCTTTGAAGACGTTCCCTAACGTGTGAGTGCTTGTATGTGTATATAATACATACATAGCTAAAAAAGATAGAGGAAAACACACAATTATATATTCTCAACAGCAAGCATGCAGCAGTGTGTGCAACCAGATAAAATTAAAAGTGGAACGACACAAAATTAAATATATGGGAAACAAAGAAACATAAAAACCCCAAAGATAAACTAAAAACAGTATAAAAGAAGAAAGTTTAATATTAAACTGCTCATAAGAATTAGGTGATTCACAAAGAAATTACAATTTCCCCTCAAATTACTTAGAAATTCAATAAAAATATCTACACCAAAAAAAAAACACAAAAGAAAATACAAGTTAAATTGGAAACTTGAAGGTACGGTAAATGTTTCTGTTAAAATAGGATTTGCTGTCCAACCAAAATGAAATGAATCCTCCAGATGAACAGAACATTTCAGGTGGCTAACACACATAAAGCTGCTACAGTTTGGGTAACTGAAAAAATGTCCTTTTAAAAACAAAGCTCTGCCAAAAATTGGATCAATTGGATTCAAAAAACACATAACATTCCAGGTGGTACTTTACATTTTCACTCATGACGTAATAAATTTAATTTGAAATAAACCCAAAGTAATGTCTGATAAAGTTTTTTTTTATATATAAATATATATCATAATTCCACTTGTGTGGTAAATCTATTTTAGCTTCACATTGGCTCAATTCTGAGTTTAGATTTGTGGTGAAGGCATCAGTAGATTACTGATTAGCCAGGATTTGCTCTCCCTTCTCTACTTTAGCTATGATCTCTGCCTTTTCCTTCATTTTCATCAGAGACTGAACTCTCTCCTTCCAGCCTGGCTTGGCCTCCTGTTCCTCTCCTTTAATGAGCAAGTCAATGTATTCTGGAGTGGTGAGAGGATTTGGGTTCAGGACTATCTCCTTCAGTCTCTTCAGACATTTTGCAGCCTCTGCAATCAGTTTCACCACATCATCCTGCATAGATCGATACTCAGACATCAGATTTTTCATCAGCTGCTCTAAGGTTAGCTTCTGTCCACAGGCCTTCTCATATTTCTCTTTCAGCTCTTTCACTGTTCTCGTCTCATGAATTTCCTGATATTCCCATCTGAAGCTCTGGTTACTATGCACATTCCAGAAACATTTCCCTGGACACCTTGTACAGTATCCATCTTTGTCCATCACTTCACATCCTTTTTTATCCTCATCTTTTGGTATATAGCAAGGGAACTGACAGGTAACATGACACTGCATGCAGTTGAAGATAAATGCCCCAGTGTGAGAAATATCGACTTGCTCATTCTTTCTCACAGTGACGTGAAACTCAAAGTCCTCATTCTTCCTGATCTCTGCTTCATGCTCTTTGAGTTTGTCGTTCGTCTCCCTGATATCCTCAAGCTTGGCTAAGCCAAGTTTAACCTGCTTCTGCAGCTCCTCCACTGTACTCTCCAGATGTTTTCTTTCTTTCAGGACCTCATTGGTCATTGTCAATTTTACGCTTTTGATGTTGGCTAGACTAGCAAAGAAACATGGCATGTTGTTTGTCCCCATGTTCCAATACTCAAAGGTTTTCTCTTCATTGGACCAAGTCCTTGCCACTAAGGATTTGTTGTTAGCAAACAGCACTGAGTTATTGAATTTGAAGTGAACTGGCAGCCCGTCTGCACCTTTAGGACATGGGACACCGGACACTTTGATGGCCTCTACAACTGGTTGCTGCTGCTCGTCTGCAAACGTCACCAGGATCCTGATGTTTTCTGCCACATCTTTGCCAAAGATTGAGAGAGCTGAATCAAACACATACCTTTGTGTTGATGTCAGTTCAGTTAGACCTGCCTGAACCACGAAACACACAGCATCAATGTCACCAACGCCTTCCTGGTTAGCAAAGAGGTTACGCAGCTGCTCTGTGATCTCCTTGTCTCTGTCTACGCCGCCGGTTCCCCCAAAGCCTGGAGTGTCTATGATGGTGAGGGAGTAGTTCACCCTGAATCCCTCCTGGTGGTAGAGTTTGTACACTGTGATTTCTGATGTCTGACTGTGAACCTGTGAGTCTGACTGACCTTCGTCCACTAACTTAAACCGAAACGAGTCTTCCCATCTAACGCCCAGAACGTAGTTCATCATCGCATTGATGACAGTGGACTTCCCAGCACCTGCAGCTCCAAGAACCATGATGTTTCTGTTACAATTCATGGATTTCTCTCCAAAAGTGAAACTCTTGCAGCCATTAATGTTGGTCTGTTTCTCTTCTAGAGGAAGTCTGTAAATTGGGGCATGGCCGGTTTGTGAAGTCAGTAAAGTGCTTTTTTCTTTAACAATATCAGCCAATCGTTTAGCTTCAGGCTTTGAATCAGTGCAGGTCTGATTTGTTCTCGGTACGACTGACTGATAAAACTCTGTAGCTAACCTAATTAACTCTCTCAGTGGGAGGATGTTGAGCCAATGCAGCCACAGTGCGATATCAACCATAGCCAACAGAGTCGTTTCCAGTGAGTTTGTCAAAATGAACACCGCAGTGACGGTTAGCGTTAGCGCTCCTGATATCTTTGGATCGTCCAAAACTGGGATTACTACATCTGAAACTTGCTTTGCTCCTTTGAGTAAGTCTGCCACAGTGATGATGTTCTGCCAGAGTAACAGAAGTATTACAACCACAGCAATGAAGAGCGGCGTGGTCAATAACAGGCACATCCTGACTGTTGGTTCTTCTTTGGTGTCAATCTGCCTGTAGTCAGAAGAAAATGGAAACAAAAGTGATGAAACCGTAAAACTTGTTACTTTTATGTCTAATCAAGTTTTTAAAATCCACCTCTGCTGCCAATGAGCTAATGAATTCACATCAATCCTGTATGTTTAAGAAACGTGTTTCAAACTACGTAAAAACTTTTAGCAAAATGTTAATGTTTCCTAATGTCTGATTGTGTTGCCACATAAATGTGTTCAGATTAAATCTCTCATTTGTTTTAATGGTTCAATGTTAAATCATGCTATTTAAATACAACATAAAATTTACTGTGACATTCAATCAGTTACAATATGTGTTCTGATGAAGCTCATATGTTAGATTAAAATTTGAAAAAGGTGCCACACAATCAGTAATTTTAGGCTGGAACAATAAACATCCTGGAATGATTGAAAATCACAATAAAATCAAAGTCCTCTATATCTTTGGTTTTTAGCTTAATGCCAGTATTGTAGATATTTGGTTTCGTCTGCAGCAAGTAACTAAAATGCAAAGTAACCAAGACTAATGACTGATATTTTTAAACAAGTCTGTTGAACTTGTGGTGATTCATAACAAACCTTGGTCGGGTGTTGGCAACAACCTGCAGATCCAGATGATCTCAAAATGTTTGATTTCCAGTAGAGTGACAGATTCCTGAAATAACACAGAACCTATTTGCATATTCCTGTTCTGCTGAAGGGAAAACATCAGGTATTTCTGAACTAAATCAGGAAAACATGACTGATAAATGGTCCATTAAATGAGCAATGTCTACAACAGAAGCTAGAAGTCTGAACACCAAAACAAAGTTTAGATCAGAAGGAAGAGAAAAATAATTCAGATAAAATTACAGATTTAGACTGGGATGTGAAGCATCGCACTAAGTCATCACTCTGCTAAAAACTCACTAATGTATTTTAAAACTATATATGTTGCAAAGATTAAAATAAAACGATACAAACCTTTTTAGAAAGTCCTCTGCCGTCTGTAGATCAGGTTCTGCAGGGTGTTGAGTTTTGCTGAACTGGATTAATTCACAAAAATATAGGAAAAGTCACTGTGTTTGTTTTTAAAGATATTAGCCAACCAAACTTTGGCCCTGAACCAGGACTGAAGTCCTGCAGCTGTCAGATCTGTCCCTGGTCCAACACACCTGAGCCAATTGGCTGAATTACTTCATCAGTTTGTATTCAGGTTCTACAGATTCCTGCTGAATCATCGATTCAGGTTGTGCTGGCAGAGACATCGAAAGGCAGTTCTACATCATGTTGATG